TTTACATACATGATAATAGAGTAAATTGTACAGATAAAAATCCTAGATTATTCATATAGAAAATATAACTATGATAATTATAGAATTTATTAAATCTATCTATATTTCTACGAGGTATTGTAACTATTTACACTATTTACATCATTTGAATTGTTAACCTCATCTTTATTGCCATATTCACAATGTTTCGGTCGTTGTATGCTCTGGCCTTCTTCAGGTGATATACGTTGAAATTTCAAACCAAACTCTTTATTTAATTTACCCCCATGGACTAAAAAAGAGTTCAGTTCAAAATTCTAAGAAATATCACCTGAAGAAGACTAGAGTGTACAACGACCGAAACATTGTGAATATGGCAATAAAGATGAGGACAATAATCCAAATGATATGAATAGTATAAATAATTAAATATGGCTGTCATTTTTTTCCCAGTGTATGAGTAAGCTGATTTTTAATAACATCGAGGAACAAAGACATTGCTACTGTGTCAAAAGCCTGTTTTAGACTAAATTTCATTATACTGATTATAGAGCTGTTTGAGTATATCAGGACTTTGTATTATGCATTAAGATCATGTTTAATAATAATTACACTCGAGAAAATAAAATGTGTGCTACTCAGACTAAAAATGCTGACTAAATCAAATATGCTGGTCCTTAATCTCAATCAGATTTGATGCATTATGACATTTGCAGGGTTTATATTTAAATGTGCATCTGATATGCTGGAAAATATATGGATGTTTATTTTTATTTTTTTTATTATCAGCAACTTTTAAAAAGGAACACTGCATAATGAAATAATAAACAAATAAAATCAAAGAAATACTAGTCAAAAATGAATAATAATTGTCAATGCTTGATCTAAGAAATTCACACAACTTAAGACTATTACATCTTATTAGTACTTGGTATAAATAAGCAAGAGAAATAAGATGAAAGAAATACTAGTCAAAAATGAATAATAATTGACAATATTTCATCCCTGAAATTCAAACAACTTAAGACTATTACATCTTATTAGTACTTGGTATGAATAAGTGACATAAATAAGATGAAACATACTAGTTAAAATGAATAATAACTGATAATGCTTGATCTAAGAAATTCAGACAACTTAAGACTATTACATCTTATTACTACTTGGTGTAAACAATCAGATGAAAGTTAAAAATTAATACTAATTGCTAATGCATTATCCGAGAAATTTCATGAAATATATATTGGCCATATATTCTTTGTTATTGAAGAAATAACTTTCAGTATAAAGATGCAATACATTTCCTTTTAAGATCTATAAAAGATTGGGAATTTCACCTGTCATAGAGTCCAAGTTCTCTAGCAAGCCAATTTATTAATGTAGTGAGTTGGATTATCACTGGGTGCTCCATTAGTGTGGCCTTATGCCAGACTAACTTATGCTTGGTAAATACATGTCAAGAATAGAAATTTATCAGAACAAATGATAATAAGCAGTTTTAGTATATTTCACAGGTGAGATATTAGAGAGAGAGAGAGAGAGAAAGCAAAAATAGAGTTGTGGAAGGCTGTGTTTTGTTAATTCTAATTTAAGTAGAGTTATCTTGATGAGAATAAATGAATATAATCTTCATATCAAGTTTAAATTACATTGAATGAAATCCCTGGCAGAAACAAGGATATTTTCTTTTGACATTGACAATTTTTATTTCAAACACAACCATCCGTCTGTTTTGCAAAACTTCAAAGTTAGTCTGTCTATATTTCTAAATCGAGGTATTGTAACTATTTAGACTATTTACATTGTTCGGACTGTCGTCCTCATCTTTATTGCCATATTTACAATATTTTGACCATTGTACACTCCGGCTTTCTTCAGATGATATACATTGGAATTTTGAACCAAACCCTTTATTTAGTCCACTGGACGCATGGCCCAGTGGATAAAAGCATTGGTAACCCAGTGACTTGACCAATTGTGAGTTCAATACCTCAATACCTCAATACCACAGCAGAAGGGAACAAAAACTTGGAGAGTTGACTTACTAAAGGGAATTAAATGAAAACTGAGGTATCCAGAAAAGCCATGGCTCATGGAAGGAAATCAATCAACCCTGGTGGACTAAATAAGGGGTTTGGTTTGAAATTCCAACATGTATCACCTGAAGAAGGCTGGAGCATATGGCTGAAATGTTGCAAATATGACAATAAAGATGAGGACAATAGCCCAAATTATGTAAATAGTGTAAACAGTTCAAAGTTAGTTGTCGGAATGTGTGTCTCTTACTGGCAGGGGTATTTGCATTCTATACTGAAGACGGATAATTCACCCACACTTAAAAGAAGAAGAAGCATTGAACAGAAAGCAGAACTTGAACAAGTTTATTAATGCAACATTCCCTCACCAAGTTTATAAGAATGTGTTCTGGCTTGAAAATTTACATTTACAGATCTCGACATCAGAGAGATGAAATTTAAATTTTTTATTATTGCATTATTCCAAAATTTTAACGCATCAGCAAATAGCTATTAATGTCAACAACTGAACACAAATAGTTATTAATCAAAATATATATATATATATATATATATATAGGGGGCATATTTTAATTCAAACAGGTTTAGTTAAATAATTTAGACATATTAATGTGTATTTATTTTAGTTTTAATCCTTTTGAATCCATGAGTTAATTTCTTGGTTGCTGTAGAAAATTGATTAAGAAAAATACCAAAATTTATCAACTGACAATTTAACCTCCTAAAGATGGTCTCAAGGATTGTTCTGTGTAGAGTTACAGAATTGGTTCTAATTCTGACGTTCTCATGTTTGAGGGAACCAATTTCAAGTCACTCACTGTGACATTATATAAATGGTAAATTTATGTGTGTGTGAGAGAGAGAGTGTATTTGTACAGGATGATTGATTTTTGTTTTTTTAAATTTCATTTTATATTAACAGATTGCAACATCTTTCAGAGAGATGAAATTTAAATTTTTATTACTGCATTATTCCAAAATTTTATCACATCAGCAGATAGCTATTAATGTCAACAACTGAGCACAAACAATTATTAATTAAAAAAAATTAGTAATTAATGTATAATATTGCCCATAACTACATGTACAAGAATGTCGTTTTTGATAAAATTTTTAAAATAACCATAAATACGTAAAAAATGCGTATATTGTCGAAAATTCACTTTTCCACAATATAGCTATTTGTGCTATGCTATAATGCTTATTACCTAAACAATAATAATAATAATACTGAATAAATTTATTTTAAATATTAAAACATATTTAATCACATCTCTCTAATAGCTGTTATGATCTGTTAAAATAATTTCTTTTACATAAAAAATTAATTCTTGATATTCTCAAAATAATGCAGCTTCAAAGGAGGAAAAAATATTTACGGTTACTTGCTAACTTGTAATTATTTAAGGTTATCTATTACTAGATATAATTACTCAAAAGTTTAAAAATTGTGGGTTTTGTAATTAAAAAAGTGTGATTTGTCTAAACATAATTTTGAGTGGCATGCAAAGAGCAGTAATATTTGAATAGAGTTCATTAACCATAATTAAATCTAATTAGTATAAGAATTTTCTTAAAAGTTTTGCAAAAGACTGGTTACAATTTTATGTCGCATTGACGAAAATAAATGAGCCTTTAAAAAAAGGAAAAGAAAATGTACCAATCTCAGCTACTTCGTGAAAAATATCATAAAAAAAAAAGAAAAGAAAAAAGGCAGACATTGAATTTTAATATTGTCACCATTTATGTTAACCCCTTCTCCGACAGTTAATTTGGGAAAAACGTTTCATTTTCAGACAATTTTTTTTATTTGTTTTTAATATAGTAACTAAGAAACTGAGGTACCTTGAAGTACCTGAGTGGTGGCTAACATCTCAACCAGATGTATGAGTTGTCAACTGGACTCATTTCAAGCTCAGAAGGGCATAAAAAGAATGAAGATTGACGTCTAAACCTGCCTGTAGCTGGTTCTTAAACATTATGTTTTGGACATGTTTATTCGTTAGTGTCTGAAAAAGACACTTTTGGCAAAAATGTATACACATGTCTACGTCAGGTTAAGAGTACAAAATATGTATTAATAAATGCAGTATTTTCTTTATTTTTCTTTGGCAATAAAGAAAGTGATTTTTAGGAACTAAATTTATTTATGCAAGAAAGGAAATAAAGACTCAGTGATAGATCTTTTCAAAAGATGTTGATTAATCAAAAATTAAGTATTATGATTTCTCTTAGTATTTCTGTTAGATATATATATATATATATATATATATATATATATATATATATATATATATTTTACATGCTCTAATGTCAAGCAAGGAAAAGGCTTTAAACATAAACTCGAAATACCAAGTATACATAACAAGATAATCAATTTTTTTCCCAAAGCCCCATTCTCTACACTTGAGAATTGGGAGAACAAGATGAAGAACTGAATTCATAACAGACCCAATTAATAAGATTAATGGTTAGCTTACCATGCAAAATGTCTTAATACAAAGACTTTAAAGAAAAGAAATCTCATTGTTATTGATATGAAGAATTTGAAAGATTAACAAGACAAGTGGTGTGTGTGTGTTAACACAATGAAACTGCTCTACACCATTATCCCTGTTTGAAGTGCAAACATGAATAATAACATTATAATAATCAATTATACTAAGTCATAATAACATAATATAATTATAATAAAGTCATAAGAACAACACATAATAATCACAATAAGTCATAATAATAACATAATAATCAATTATAGTAAGTCATAACAACATATTATAATAATCAATAATAATAATGATATTTGATAAGCATACACTGATAGCCGTACTATGGCATAAGTGACATGAAAGCATGATTCATTCATTCATGACAACAAAACAGCCAAAAATCCGTCTCTAATTCTATATGTGGAGAAAAAAGTGCAGGCATAAAGATGGAAGAAAGGATCGGACTAGATGGGGACAGAAAACTTGCTCAGGCTACCTTCAGCGCTGAAGAAGATTTTGACTCCTTCTCTAGTTTACTTTTAACAGTCTGGCATTCCCCAACTTTATTCTGAAATTCAATAATGAAACACAAAAAAAAAAAAAAAAAAAAAAAAAGAAAAGAAAAGGTGTCAAATAATAATACAACACAGAACAACAAATAACAACAATTGGATGGCAGGTGACAAAAAAGAAAAAGAAAAAAAGAGTCAACTACTGTAGGCAAAGAGTTTGCTACTTACCCTGCAAAGAGTTTGCTACTTACTATGACATTTTTGTGGTTTAAAGAAAATGAGAATGGGTGTGGTGGGTAGGTTGATATAAGAACAAACAAACAAAAGAAATTATGGTAGCGAAAAGAGGATGATGGTATGCTGGTGAGAAATTAAGTTTGAAAAAACAATGCACATTACTTCAGTTAATCAGAAATCATAATAATCTAAACAAAAGAAATGCAATCATAATATAACTTTGAAGGAGACAAAAAAAAAAAAAGCAAATCTACAATGTTTTTGTAAATATTTTGTCTTTACAAGTTTTTTTTTGAACATCTAATGAAAGTAGAATTATTTTGCAAAAATATGAGTGATAGATGTATGTCATTGAAATAATTAGTTTTGGTAAGGTAACTAGTTCAATGTATTCTATTTTCATATTCAAATAAATAATTAGACGTTTGGGGAAATTCATTTTGCTCTAAGTTTAAAAAAAAAGAAAAAAAAAGAAACGACTTAAATTTTACATACATCTCAAAGATTTACATATATCTCATAAAGTTTAAAAAAAAAAAAAAAAAAAAAGTAAGAAAAGAAAGCCTTGTGAACTCTTAAATTTTACATATATCTCATAAAGAGAGAACTTCTAAATTACTAAATAAAGTCAAAATTTATGATTTCATATTAGATGTTCCTAACTGTTTACATTAGTTAAATTTCTTTTGTTATTTTTTTTTCATCCTACAATACGAGGTTTTTAGTTAAACATTTACAGTTTTTATTTAAATACTGAATTATTTTCTTACTAAAAATAGTCTAAAAGGCTCCCTCTTAATCTCGTAACCCATTAAGATCAGAGAACTATCACACATACTGCAGCTGGAGCACCAGTGGTGTTTCCCAAGCAGGATAACCTGATGGAACCCAACACTCTCTCCAGGATGGTCTGAATTCAAAGCTTTCCTTCTCCTAGACTAGTCACCAACCAAGGCTATGGGACACAAAACTAAGGCATCTTATTTATTTATTATTAGAGGGAGATAACAAAGGAATTGGTGTTGAAACACTTGGCGGCATTTTTTTTATTTTTTTAAAATCTTTTCTGGAATCTTTTTAAAGACAAATCTCTTTCTTGGTTTCACAATCATGAGTTCTGTCACCTTTTAGGGTTGTAGGGATGCCACACATACTGCAGCTTTCACAGTAGCGGTGTTTCCAGGGCAAGATAGCCTGATGAAACCCAACCTTCTCCGGGCTAGTTTGAATTCAGAGTTTTCCTTCTCCTAGACTAGTCACTAACCAAGGCTAAAGACCCAATCTGTCCTGCTATTTGCTCATATCTGGGAGATGAGATGGATTCATACTATTCCCAAGGGTATTAGCATGTAAGTGAATATAATGAACTCAACTGGAATTTGAACTGAAGAAGTCTGGATCATACAATACCCAAAATAATGTGAATATAACAGTAAAGAGGAGGACAACAGTCTGAACAATGTAAATAGTGTAAATACTAATCTTTCTCATTTCTCTTTAATACTGTATAAACAATTTGTTAACTTTTCAAGGTATTAAATGCAACACTGAAATCCGAAGGCACATTAGGATAGTGAAAGATGCCTTTCAAAAGTTAAGTTTTAAGAGACAAGGAAATGTCATCAGAAACGAAGAAAAGAGTACTGGACTGTTATGTAATATCAGTCCTCTTATATGGCACTAAATGCTGGACAATCTCTTCACAGATGAAGAAGAGACTTGAAGCAGCAGAAATGTGGTTCTACAGAAGGATGCTGAGAATACCATGAACTGAATATGTGAGTAATTCAAAGTTTTAAGGAAAATGGAAACAAAAAGGAAACTTAAATTTCAAATAATAAAAGCAGTTAAAATTTCTAGGACACATAATAAAGAAAGGGCTTAGAAAATTCAATACAGGACATATTGAAGGCAAAAGGGACAGAGGAAAGAAGCAAATAAACTACCTAACAAGATTGTGAAAAAGGTTGGCAGAACAGGGATTAGGGGAGACAAGCCAAACATTGCTAAGAGCCAGAAAAGACAGGAAGCTGTGGTGAGCCATGATCGTCCATGTCTTAAAAGGACATTGCACATAGTAGAAGAATGCAATTATAGTTGGTATAAAATGTCTTTAACAATTGAAAAACAATAGAAAGCTAAAATCATAAAAACAAACAAGAAGTGAACAATGAATTAAACTGATGATCATTTCAGAATTTCGATTAGATGTATTGGCTAATGTATTAAATATATTGGCTAATGTATTAAATTATTGGCTATTAAACTATCAAGGTGTGGAGATTATCTACAATTGTAACAAATTTTTATTTATTTTGTTTTTAAGTACATCGTGTTTTCTGGAATCATTTTCTCTATTTTTATGAAGCCCATAAAAATTATCTTTTAAAAAATAAAATTAAAACAATTAAAAAATACAACTATAAGTTCTATACTAATTGTTTCTCCTTCATTTATCACTTATGGAGCTCTCTTTCACCTTCAAAAGTTTCAATGCAACATCAATCATCATATTTTGTTTTTCTGAATCCTGTTCTAATGTGCTTTCCACTTTGGTACCTTGACCTCATGATTTTAAGCATAGTACAAGATTAGTAATTATGTCTCATCATTTTACTGTTGAAATAGTTTAGATGTAACTGTAAATTCTATTCTAATAGTTACTTCTCTCACTTTTCTTGCTTGAGGAACTCTCTTCCAGCTTCTTGCTAACATATCAACAATGATCTTCAAAAATTAAGATGCAACATCAATCCTCTGTCTTTTTGAATTCTGTTCTTTTAGTGTCCTTTCTATTCAATAGTGTTTTCTCTGTTTCTTTTACTACTCTTGGCCACCCCCTTGTATCTTAGTGGCTTTATTGCCTTGCTTGAGGTGAAATGATAAAAAAAAACATGTGATAAGTTGCACCCTATAATTATCTAGGTATTTTTAGGGAAAAAAAAATTATTTAAGGATTTACTAGCTTGCTGTACTAGCAAGTTCAAATTGCTGACTTTACGGTGTCAATTTACTTTGTCTTGAATTATCACATTTTGCACTTCTTATTAAATATTTCTGGTTAATATTCATTAGATTTTCAATAGATATCACAATGTTACACCTATTCACATCAGAAGCAACATGTACTTTCCACAAGATGTTACAATACATCCAACTCTCAGCTGATGTCTCAGGGCTATGTTGAAAAGCAGATAGTAGGTACTTGGAATTGACAGTATATTTGAAATTAACAGTAGGCCAATTACAATAACTGGTTTGTTTCAATAGTACACAAAATGCAGTAATAAGGCTGCTATTCTTGGTGTACACATGAAATATAACTGTCAGCCCGTATTACATGGGGTTGGGGTTTGTGAAGGTACCATATGGTATGGCTGGATGAATGAAAAACTTACAGTACCAGTAGTAAGCTGCCTACTGGTTATCATCAATACTAACAAAAAAAAAAAACAAACAATATATATGATATGCTACTAATGCTATTTTAAATTTTTTTTTTTTACAGTTAGGTTCACACTGTAGAAGGGCCAGGGGCTACTCAAGATAGAAGGTTACGTTAAGGGGCAGTTTATACAGATAGGAAGGGAAGATAAAGGTTAACCGTAGACTTAAACAGGTTAAGATTTTAGTGATCACGGAAACATTGTTTTGGGTGTCTGTTTCTCAGAGCAGTAGTTCGTGGGAAGAGAATGTGGAATATGGAGATATTATGGGTGGTTTACTACTATGTAAGCAGCATGGTGGGGTCCTAGCCATGAAGATTAGGCCTAGTGGAACAAAGGAATGTAGTTTGTCTGATCACTTTCCATAGAAGTAGCAATAGAGCAATGAGAGGCTCACTACATCCTGCCTGTGAGAGAGAGGTTAGAGGGTGGAAAATAATTTGTCACCCACAAGGACTTGGAGATGCACAGACTCAAAAGTGAAAATCAAAGACTAGAAACTGAGGATGGGTCAGCTTCCACCCAAATATGACAACAGTACTCCATTTTCAGGCTGATCTGGCTCTTGTAAAGGTAGAATATAGCATGAGGAGTCAGATGGTATTTATTACATTTTAATCATAATTGTAGGCTTATATTATATATCTAGGGTTCATGATTGCTCAGATCTTGTCACTGGGATTCGTGAGGATTGGCAAACTCATCTGTAAAATTACTTACATTATTTGGACTTTTATTCTCATCTTCATTGCCATATTCACAATGTTTTGGCTGTTGTACGCTCTGGCCTTCTTCAGGTGATTAGAATTTCAAACCAAACCCTTTATTTTTTCCACCGGGGTAGATTGTTCTAGTTCCACGTGCTATGCCTCTTTTTGTGAATATGGCAATGAAGATGAGGATAACAGTCTGAATAATGTAAGTAATCATAATACCTCATCTCAGAGATATAGACAGACATCTCTAAAACTTGACCTTTCAGCAGGGTGATTTTTGAGGGCATTTTCAGAGGAAAAATCTGTCTCAGCATATGGGGAATATGGTAACAATTGATCATCCACCTTTAGTGACTATTGCTTTTTAACTTTTCAAAGCAGCCATCATAGCAACAGGATTTTCTTAGAGAACTAAGGATCATCATCCTTCTAAGTAACAGAAACTTATCCCTTGAGTTATTTGAGCCAACAAATATTTGTCACTGACTTATGTAATGTATCTACTTAATTTATTAATTTTTATTCACACCTAGCAAATCCCAATTTTGTATTGCTTTCCAAGTAGAAGATTGCTTAGTTTACAGGATCAATGTTTGTATGCACTTAAGGCATAATGGGAAACAATGTAAGTCATTCCATCTTGAATCAACCAATAGCTACATATGACCCTCTCAGGAAAAAATGGGAAAATTCACAGGTGTTCTGTGATCAAATTCATTGATAAATCCCAAATATTAGATCTGGATGTTTAATAGTTTTAAAACCACAGTGTCTGGAAATTTCACTGCAATAATCTCTTAAGTCAGAAATGACAGGAGATACATTCAGATGCTGTATTAGAGATACTTTGTAAATGAGAAACTCTCAAAGTAGACAGTGTCTTTTTTGCATTTTGCCATTTTTCAGGTCCTTATAAAAATGAAAGAACATAAGACACTCATAAGCTGTTTATATTTTTGTAATATTCAGTAAATATTAACTATTGTTACCAAATTTTAAATCTGTACATGCAATATCATTGGAGCTATTCATGTTAGAAGTTCATTTGAAGCCTTATTTAGAAAGTCCAAAAAAAGTTGAAAATTGAAAACTAAATGTTAAAAGTTCATTGAAAGGCGTATTTAGTAATTACAAAAAATGCAGTAAAATTCCAAGATTTGGGATGAATCAATAAATTTGATCAAGAAACACCTGTTAGTTTTTCCAGATTTTTCTGAGAGGGTCACCTGTGGTTGTTTTGCTGATTTGAAACAGAACAACCTATGTGCATATTCGAAAACTGTTATTTTTCAGTGCAGACAACAGCAAACAAGTAACTAACCATAAAATATCTTAAATGAAATCAGGCAAGAATTAACACATTAAATAAATAAAAAGAAACATTTAATGCACATAATTTGACTAAGTAAAAGAAATCTGTTTCTAATGAATAAAAAAGTAAAAAAAAAAAAAAAAAAATCTGTTTCTAATGAATAAAAAAAGTAAATTGAAAATAAGAGTGTAAAAGATTTACCTGAGATTTTGAACCAGAAATGCCAAGTTCTACAACTTCCAGAACATTGTGTAGACATTCTTTGTCATAGAGAAGGCAGCTATGTTCTACAAGCCAGAGTTTAAGACATTTGAAAGCTGCTACAATCATTGAGTGAAGGTCCCTGCAAAATTAAAATACACAAGAGAATAATTTCCTATTATCTTCAGTATCAAACCATATAATAATTATCATGTTAATCTTACTTATTATAAAACACAGATTGTGTGTGTGTGTCTGTAACGTTTATATATTGGATCGGATTTCCTACATTTTTCAACAGATTTCAACAAAACTTCACAGGACTACATAAAATTACCTTGCGGTGGTTCTAACAGCGCCAAAAATGGGAAAAATACAATTGTTTTTGCACAAAATCAATTTGAAAACACGATTAAGAGGCATCGTGTGAATGAAAGGGGGACAACTCACATTGGGTTAAAAACCCAGGTTGTTTGTTTGTTGAATGGAGTGTAGAATACTTTGTGAATTGGGATCTGTAAAAAAAATCTACTAGGCAATTTCCTGTCACTAAAGCAAATATTTTAAAGTGTCAAAATTGGGTCAAGAAATACATGAAAATCTTCATGGATGAATCTCAAGTGATATTTGATGGGACAAAGGATGGATTTTATCCAATTCAGACATGCCTGTGGCTAAAAGGAGGCAATAGTGTTATGATATTAGCTGGAATTGTCAACAAAACCATTATTGAACCATTCAAAGTTGACAAAGGAGTTAAACTGAACAGTGCTAACTAACCATTGGGATTTTATGAACAAGACTTTCTTTGCATGGTACAAGTCCCAGTCTCGCAGTTTCAAAGTGAAGTGTGTATTTATGCACAACAATGCTCCTTCTCGTCTATTTAAACTTATCTGTGAATTCTTTCAGCAAAAAAGATTTACATGCGGGCACGTAAATGTGTGCATATTTGTATGTAAGTATCCATGCATGCATGTGTGCACATACACAGGCTCACACAAAAACACATATACACACAAAAATTCAACCATTACTTAAACTAAAATGGTTAAAACAATACCAAAGTTAAAAAGCACACTAAACATAAACCAATGAAAAAAATACAAAAGAAACAATTAACTGTTCTTTCATACAATTAAACACAAGTATCAAACACTAAGTTAAATAATACAACCTACTAAAATATATTAAAACATTAAATAAAGTTAAATAATACAACCCACCAAAAATACATATACAGTTAACACAAAAGACACAATTATACGCACAATACAGTTACCGCAAACACACAGATGCACATACATGCATACACACAAAAATCCAACCATAAACCAGAGACCAACGGAGAAGATGAGGAAAGAATAAAAGAGAAAAAATATAAAAGAGAAAAAATAAAAAAGAGGGAGGAAAAGAAAAAAAAAAAAAAAATCAACAATCAATCAATCAACATCCATCAAATGAAAAGAAACAAATAACACTCATACCACAATAAAACTACATGAGAATCAATTAATGTCAGTAGTTTAACTCTGTTCCAACAAGTGGTTATACTTCTATAGCCATGGAACACCAAAGTAAACATGAGTTAACTGGAAAAAACTGTAATATATTATATATATATATTATATATATACATATATATATATATATTCATATATTTCTGTCTGTCCATTTATATATATATATTATATATATATATATATATATATATATATATATATATATATCCACTCTTTCTGTCTGTCTGTCTATATAATAATGGACTCTTCCGACATATGAGGATCTGACACTTAATTGATTCAGTTATGAAATTTTGTGTGATAATTTTAAGTGGCACTTAAGACTTGTTAGTGATTTACAAAGGAGACTGCATTTGGAGCAAGAGTAAGGACTGTGGGATTGGCTGACCTTTTAGATCTTGCTCTCACTTTTTGAAGACAATTCAGACAAGCACATATATATATATTTTTTTTTTCCAGTTCATCTTTTGGAAGTGCTATCTGATGATCCAGTGTCCTTTAAAAGGGCTCTGGTAAAATAAATTATTATAATGGAACCTTAAAGTGGTATGTTTTTCTTTAAAATATATATATATATATATATATATATATATACACAAACACACATACATACATATCCACTCTCCACCCTCTCTATATATCCACACACCTTTTTCATCTGGTTTTCTTTTGTTTTTTTTCTCTAATTTCCTTACTTCATCCCTTGCCTCCCTAACACATTCTTTTGCCCCAATTCCTTCTTACTTAAAATTATTATACATGTTTTGGGGTCAGAAAATAACTGATTTCAACTCCGAAGAGCCAGGGATCAGGCAGATATTACAAATTGACCTAAGACAGAAAAGCATAATAGCTGTACTAACAAACAAGCCGAATAATAGTGTAAATAATTAGTATTATCATTTTTACAACCAAATTAATAACAAGTGAAAAACTTAGGCTAAGAGAGAGATGTTTGCAAAATTTGGGAAGTGGAAGGAAATGAAGCAGTATCTGACTGTACTGCTTCAAACTGTTTGAAATGTTTTAATAATGGTGACTTGTCACTTGATATAAAGCCTAAAAGTGGATGACCATTAGTCTTTGATTGCAGAACTTTAAAACACAGAGTAGAGGAGAGTCCAACCACCAACACTCAAAAACTGAAATTGACATTCAATCTGTTGTTAACTGGGGCAACAAATGGCTTGTAAACTTTAATGTCTTCAAAACAAAACTGCTATCTTTTAGTCATCTTAGAGAGCCATTTTTACCCTCCATCAGCATGGCTGATGCCAATCTCCAGGATAGCAATTCATTGTGTCTTCTTGGTCTCACACTTTCCACTGAAATGAAGTGGAATGATTATATTGGCTCAATTGCTAGGTCCACTAGAAAGTTAATTCACTGTGTCATGGGTTTTCTAGTCAGAATCTATCTTGCATGTTTATAAGTCTACCATTTGTCCCTGCATCAAATATTGCTATCACATCTGGTCGGGTGCTCCCGCTATATATCTTGAGATTCTTGATAAAATTCAAAGAAGAATTTGCAATGTTATCGGCCCTGACCTAACATCTTGGTGTCACTTTTTCATCACCTTTTCTATAATATTTCTATAGTATTTTCTTGGTAGCTGTTCTGCACTTTCCTCTTTGGTACCATGATTTCATGAATTTAAGGATAGTACTAGATTGACATCTAGGACATCTTTTTACTGTTGAAATGGCTAGGTGTTATTGTAAGTTCTATTCTAATAGTTTCTTCCCTTGCACTTCTTAACTGTGGAACTCTTCTGTTTTCTTGCTTTCCTATCAAGTACAATCTTCAAAAATTTAAATGTAAAGTTAATTGCCACCTTCTGTCATTTTGAATCCAGCTTTTTTTATTGGCCCTTTTCCTCACTAATGTTTTCTCATTTTCTTTCACTTTCAGTAACTTCTTATATTTTAGTAGCTTTATTGCCTTGCTTGGGGTGATAATGATAAAAAAAAAAAAGCACAGCTCATTGAAAGATGACAAATGCAAAGCATTATATAATCTTCAAAAATTAAGAGTTGATTAAACAAAAGTAATGTTGATATACCCTAATATTACTCTTTCCATATCGATGATTCATTTTGTATAATTTTTGACCAGAGAGTTGAAGAAAGTTCAGATATTTTGTAAAAAGGTTAGCAGACCAAAACACTCAGAGAATTTCAATTGATGTTAATAAATGTGCAATGTAGGAAAGTGAATTAATCCTAGTCAAGACATTTGGTAAACTTGGAACTTTGTACCAGCAAAAAAAAAAAAAAACAGCAGGACATTTTTTTATCATTGACACTGCTATTATTTTAACTACTTTCACTCCTTGGCAATGTTTACTGTTTTAAAAAGTGATGATTAGAATTGTAACAAAACCTAAACATATGAAAGTGAATTTATAGATTTTCTTTGTTCTTTAGAATTGACAACAAAAATAATAAACATTATTTTATTGTTTATTGGAATGATTGGCAAAACATTGCCAATTGATTTGAACTTTATAAAATGGTAAATAATAAGGATTTGCTTATAGCTGGTTCAGATATTTTAATAATTTATGAAATGTTTATAAATTTATGACTTAAAAATTGTTTTCAAATTTATTTTTAAATTGGTAAATGATAAATATTGCATTGAATTTGGTTTAATTGTATTAGTTTTTAGAATGTTGTCAATATAAAATTATTCTTGTAAATAAACAATCTAATAAATAGTGTTTAATATTTTTGTTGTAAATTCTCAAAAACAAAAATTGCATAAATTCACTTTCATCATATGTTTAGGTTTTATTACAATTCTAATTACCGCTCTTTAAAACAACAAATATTGCTGAGGAGTGAAGGTAGTTAAAATAATAGTGGTGTCAATGGAAAAACTGTCCTTTTGACACCCTGTTTTTTTTTTTTCAGGGACAAAGGTCCACGTTTGCCAGACTTGTTGGTGTGTACAGATAATTAAAATGATTATTACTTAATTACCTTGAATGTGACGTAGCAGGTCGGCTGCACTGGTAGACTATAAAATCACAAATCCACTTGACCGTACGTTTACTCATGCTTGTGTTTGGTGGTTTTACTTTCACCTTGGCCAAGCCAGACAGGAGTTCCATGGCAGCTAAGGCTGTATTCAAGTCGGACTTCCAAGATGCCATCAATCGATTACAGACTAAGGATGTTGCATGACCAAAGAGGCCATGAGCTGTGTCTAAAAAAAAAAAAAAAAAAAAAATTATATGCCATTAGTTAAACTTGAAACAAACAAACTGGTTTCCTCGCTTTTGATTAAGATGTGATCTGGGACAGCGAAGAATTCCTTCTCAAATTTTAATTATTGTTTCAGTGTGATTTGTACAGTAGGTATTCTCAAAAACATTTTAAAGTTAACTGAAGATAATAGAAGATATGTTTTTCTAATCCATAGTATGGCTATCAAAACTAATATAAAATTAGAAATGCCTGTTAGCACTGAATAATTATTCCAAATGGCTTGGACCAGTCAAGAGATGTTTTAACAATTATATTGACAAGGTGAAAATGACCAGGAGTAAATGATCTGGTTATTGTGTAATAAGATTGATATACATTAACATTATTAAAAAACAAAAAAAATAACTCTGTTATTTATTATTAAAACACTTATTTAATAATGACATAAGCATGATGAAAGGCAGAAAAAAATCTGAATTTTTAAATTTGATTAAAATTTTGAAAGTCTTTATGAAAAAATTGGTGGGAATTTTTCCTTTCTTGTGCCATACTCAAAGTCTACAATATAATTTAAGAAATAAAACTAAAATGTTGCCAAAGTAATATTTTATATTATTTTGCAGTTTCAAATTTTACACTTTAAAGCATAACTTAAAACCATGTTCTTTTTTTTAAATATTTTTAAAAATTCTCCAGGAAATTGTCTTTTAGAAGTGGATGTATTTACATTAAAGAAAAATATTTTCACAATTTTATTCTTTAGAATGAAAATTTTTAATAAATTCAGTCATTGATGCAAGAACAAAAATTTTATTCATTAATGGATTCTACACTAACTGCAAATCCCTCATTAGTACTGCAGAGCATTATCACAGCATTAGTACCATAGGGGTTTCAAACACCTTATTTAAAATATAATAAGATCTATCATTTAGATCTTAACTTCCTTGTTATATATTGTCTTAAATAAAAATGGAAAAAAAAAAAAAAAATCAAAGGTTTTATATTAAAAAGGACAATATTAAAAATGAATTTGTAAGTTTAAAAAATTCAAATATGTAAAAAAAAAAAGGTTTCATTATATTTTTAACACAATCTTTTCAAAAACTTTATGATCAAATCTTACTCCTCTTCAATTATTTTTTTGCATTTCAAGCACTAAACAAGATGGTTACTATGACCTTTGCTTGTTTCTATCTCAATTATTGCAGACAGACTAATATTATGACTAAAGCAAGAAACAGCTAGGGCTGCTCATTTTACTGTTGGTATTCAGGAAGCTACTTGATTAATCATGAAATTCTGACTTGGTACTTGCTAAATATTAAAGAAAAACATTTTGCTACCAATAGAGGGTTAAGAATTCAGATGTATCAGGTGTTCAAGAATTATAATTTTATTGATTTTTTGAAGGCTTAATTTCTTTTTTAACAAGTGGAGAAAAATATTCAAACATAAATATCTCCATTTTTACATTTTGAATGAAAATAAGCTTTATATAAAAATATTATCCAATTATTTTTAGTCATTAGATGTTAATATTATAAAAGTTTGTTAGAAGAGAAGTTATTGAAGATAAACGTATGAATCAGAAAAATCTTACAGCTACACTCATAAGTCAAAAATAAATCTTTAAATAAATTCAACAACTTTTGAGTGAGAATACTTAAGGCTGAATTCTTCAATGTTTGCATTTTTGTATTTCTCATGTTTATTGTGTAACTATTTTAACAGGTAATTTATATTTAAAAATATGACAAAATATTGATTTTATGTATAAAAACTTGAGATGTTTGAAAAAAATCAAATAGAATATGAGATCTAACTAATTAGGTTGTTTATCAAAATGCCCCATAACATTCATATGCTTTTTCCTGGTGCTGTTTATGTGTGTAAAGCCCCCATCAATACTGGAAAGAGAGATAACAACTGCCAGACTTGAGAAATCTACTTTCCTGAAAATTCTTTTAAGAGAAAGATTTTATAAATTTCAACCAAAGGAGTCCTGGCTTTTCAGTCAATGAATGCCGAATGTTTCCTTATAGGGAAATGGCTAATATTAGTATTACCATCATAGGGGTTCCATTTGTGCATATAAGACACAAGGTTATACTCTATGTTCCAGCAATTTCCATCTTACTCAGAATAAGCAGATTTCAACTATTGTCGTCTGAAGGATATTTTTGCATGACATTATTGCAGTTCAATGCCACAAATCTGGTTTGTTAGGTTCTGCCATTAACCAAATCTAACATCCTGCTGCTGATGTCATCATCATAACCAGGCTGGGTTGGGGTGTGTGGGGGATGTTGTCAGGGTGCTATGCTTTGCCAAATATCATCCCACGATTTTGTTGCTAGAGTTTTGAATTCAGCGTTGTTTTTCTACTTGACTGTTTGCCAACCATGGCTAGAGAGCCCAGTCTGTCCTGTTATTTAACTCATAGCTGGGAGGAGAAGAGATGGATCTGTACCTTTCTCAAGGGTATTTTTTGTGCATAAGGGAATGTAACAAACTTGAACTTGCTAAATTTCTAACTCAACTTGTCCAATTTCCCATTCTGAACTGCTATCCATGGCATCACCCACACGTTCGCCTTGAATGTTTTGTCATGAAGAACAATTTAGTAATTTTTTTCTTTTTAAGACTTGTAAAATCAAATATAGATGAGAAAAAATTGATGAGAGAAATCAAGAAAAAGATGGAAACAAAACAAAATGGTTAACTTCAATAGATTAAACTAAAAAGAAAGAAAATTAGTAACATTAAAACTGGTATACTTCATATAAAGTAAGCGAAAATAGTCCTCCACTTGTCTGAAAGAATTCAAGTATTTGTCAGTATGAAAACAAAAGGAATAATAATTTTTTTTTACAAGAAATTAAAGTTCTAAATAAAATGTTTGAATAAAAATACAAGATTCTGACAATACTCCTCCACCTCACCAAAAAAAAAAAAAAAACCCAAAAAAAACAGACAGCAGAATAATAGACATCTATGTAATAAAAAAAGCAAACTGAGGCAGAAAATAAAATATGAATTAACAATGATACACCCTGAAAGAAAATGTTCTTGACAAATTGTTTTTATGTGAAATAGAAAAGGAAATGAGAAACATTGTTGCTCAGTTGAATATTATTATTATTATTAGTAGTAGTAGTAGTAATAATAGTATTAGTAAATATAAAAACTTGTTATAAAACAGTGGCAGAAATGATCAAACAGCAAGGAAAATAAAAGCTTTAAAAACTTAGTTTTACATAGTATCAGTTTAATAGTGAGTGTCTGAGAGATTACACAAATTAAATTATGCAAAATTATAAATATAAGACCTTCCCTGCAAAGGAAATAATTTATTACATCTTTATATATACATATGTATGTGTGTGTAAAAATGATATATAAATCTTTTTATATATATCAAGAACAATTTTAGGGGAATGAAGTATGAAAAAGTGGAAAAAGTTTTCATGTGATGTGTTTGGTCCTTTAAGACTTCAATGGACTGAGTTTATGTTTACATTGATGCAACTACACATGCATATGAATAAGAGGTGCTGGGAATGTTAAATTTAAAATATTTTTTATTTAATATGTGTTTTGGGTACATAATCTAACTGAGATCATTTAGATTCTTTTTCTTTCCATCAATTTTTTTTATTAGATATCCCACATAGAAGATCTGTCAAAAATGGTGAAATGTGGATACAAATTTACTGTGGATGATCTAGCAATTACAGCACTTTCTAAACATTTTTATCTTCTTAGTAAATTGTTTTCTCTTTTAATTAGAGTATCATTTTTAAAATCAAAATTGTGGTCAGTCTTGCTACAGTGATCAACTAATGTGTTTAATGTGTTGTTTTGTAAAAGATCCCTTTAATGTTCATATAATCTTTTATTTAAATGCCTTGAGGCTTCTCTGATGTATTCATTATCATAGTTATTACAGATGATAGAGTAAATCCCTCCTTCAAGTTCTAGCTTATTTTGTTTTGTGTTAAGTCTTTTATTGTTTTAGATGTAGTTGTGACAAATTTTATCTTGAGTTTATGTTGTGGTAAACCCTCCTATAGTAGAATGAATTCTTCCTCCGCTCATAAATACTAACTGCAAGAGTCGGTTGGGCAGAGCAGAGGCAGTACTAACCTACCATTCGGACGTACACATCTATCTACTTATTACTAACACTCTTGCTTAGTATATATCTTCAATATACTTGTTAAACCTACCTTCATCTTCCATGTCTTTCTTTCTGGCCCATAAACAGGCCAAAACAGTTTAGATAAATATCATTTGTAGCTGTGATAGAGTTGGTGAGTAGAACAATATTTTGATTTGTTGGGTTTGTTAGGAAGGACAGTTTTCTATTTTAAAATATTTTATGAGCCTTTTATTTTGCAGTGTGTGTATATATATATATATATATATATATATGGATGACTATATATATGCCCTTGGAGACCCAATAGAGCTCGCTGGAGAACAGGGTTATTTTAAAAACAGTGACTACTGCTGTTATTAATGCATTTCTGTTCAAGTATGAATTGAGCTCTTCTGGCTACTGGCGTACTTCGTACAGAAAACGTTAAAATTCCCCTTTCTTTCTGTTGTACACCAAAAGCATAGGGGTGGGATCCCTGACTGATGCCAAATCGGTTGAGTTTCGATCCTGGCTTGAAGCAATCAGACGTTTAGCCATACTGAAGAGTGTGAATGACATATATATATATATATATATATATACACACACACTATAAAATTTTTTAGTTGGTTCCTGTGGGATTCAGTTGATAATGTGTGTGTGCGTGCGCATTTCAGTGTTGAGTAGACATTTATATCTAGTAGTTGTTTGCATGTTGATTTGGGGGGTGTTTTGTGTGAGAGTGAAAAAATTCAAGTTACAAGGGTCGTGGTTGCACATAAAATAACTAGAATTATGATACACATATATACATGAATTATACATATGAATGCTGCTTGACAGGACAGATACATGTGAGGTCAACTTAACGAATTAAAAACAACACAAAAATACCAGAATTTTCTTTTTTTCTTCCTATTTCATTTTCTTATGAAGCTTAAATAGAACTGAAACATGTTAAATTTATAAATGTTTCCTATTTGTTCCTCATCTTATCATATAAACATGATGTGGCAAAAGTTACACCCTATTTTTTATTTCTTAACATTTATTGAATAGAAATAAATTACAGTAGTTTAAGAAAATTTATAAGTCTTGTCACATCAAAACAACATGATTTGTTAAAATTAACAAACTATTTAACATGTTTAAAATGCGTCCCCCCACTTCATGTTCAATACTATGCTGAACCCTCTCTGCAATATTTCTACAAGTCGTTTTAGACATTTCTACATTAATTTAAGAAAATTTATCAGAAACTGCTCATTTTAATTTGGGGAATTGTTTTCATTTTGAGCTTGTAAAGATTCTTTCAGTAGACCACCGCAAGAAAAGGTCTGGTGATCATGATGGCCAACCAATTACTTCAAGTTGTCTTGTTCAACACAGCTCCAAAAAAAAAAGGAAAAAGGTGTGACTTTTGCTGTGTGTGTGTGTGTATATATATATATATATTTTTATTTATTTAGTTTGTTGATGTGACCCTGGGTTTCCCACCCATTGCAATCGTCAGACAATATATATATATATATATATATATATGTGAAAAGTGTATATAAATATAAATAAAAATATATATATATGTATAATTATTTATATATTATATGCGCTGGGTATTTATTAGAAAGCGCTCAATATCAGAGATAGAGCTAACATATTTGGTTGATAGATGTGAGTTTGTGACCCTGGGTTTCACGCTTTTAGCGATCGTCAGACAAACTGATTAATGTTTTTAAAATTTGGGTTTATGTAGAATTGGTGTTATTGTGGAAGTGGTGGGGGAAATTTATGATGTATGCAGACACATATACATACTTGGTCGTCCGTCGGGACTCAAACATATGTAGACAGTTTGGCTATGACACATGTATGTATACGGTGGTGTTATGTCTATACATACGCATTTGTATGTTGAAATGTTGAAATTTAAACATTGGAGTGTGAAATGTCTCGTTCGTGAATGTATCCTAAAAAAAAAAAAAAAAAAAATTCATAATATGACATGGATACATTTAGACATTAACTAGACACCACAATTCCAATGTTTAAATTTCAACATTTCAACATACAAATGCGTATGTATAGACATAACAACCAGATACATACATGTGTCATAGCCGAAACTGTCTACATATGTTTATATATATATATGAGTCCCGATGGATGACTAAGTATGTATATGTGTGTCTGCATACATCGATGTTTATGCTAGTAACGATGAATGACAAAACGATGAAATTTCCCCCACCACTTCCACAATAACACCAATACACGCAATCTACATAAACCCAAATTTTAAAAAAACATTAATCAGTTTGTCTGACGATCGCTAAAAGCGTGAAACCTAGGTCACAAACTCACATCTATCCAACTAAATATATATATATATATATATATATATATATATATATATATATATATATATATATATATATATATATATATATATCCGTAGTTGAATAGATGCTTTGTTTATTTATTAAATAGTATATTTATTTATTTTCATCTACCAGGACTGAATATGTGAGAAATGTTATTAGATAAAAATATGAGCTCTCCTGCAGGATAAGAATCTGCATTCCCATAGGGGTAAACTGTCATTAGATCTGACATGCTCTGACCTCTGGTCAAGCAAAGTTGGATAGTGCCTTTATTCACAGATTTTTCCCTGACTATCAAAATTAACCTGCTCAGTTTCATATCCTAATGTAAACAAAGCAATTTCTAAAGAAAGGGACAGATTTTTATTAAATGTTATTTTTAGTGGATACTTGTATTTGAGAAGACACACTATTTATTAATCAGTATATCTATCTATTTTCATCTACTAGCCTGATTTTCTCAAATAAGATTTCTCAAATATTCAGGGTAGCTGACAAAAATAAATAAATATACTGTTTAATAAATAAACAGAACGTCTACTCTAATACAAGTATCCACTAAAAATAACTAAGCAATATTTAAAAATGCTGGAAAGCCTTCTTCTTTCTTAAGAGATACCTTTTGACCAACACATCGTCAGAAGAATACATTGGTAAATATTGACTAACCAAAAAAAAAAAGTCAACAATTCACACTGCGAGAAAATATAAGGAGGAGAAAAAAAGGAACCATGACTAAAATTATATTTTTCTGCAGTGCGAATTGTTGTCTTTTCTTGGTCAGTTAATATTTACCAATGTATTCTTCTGATGATGTGTTAGTTGAAAAAGATCTCTTAAGAAAAAAGAATATTTTCCTGCATTTTTAAATCTATGTATATATTCTATGGTGTTACATTTTTGCTATAAATCAAGAAGATCTTTAAAACTTTCGGTCTGAAGAGATGAATATATAAATATATTCGTGAAATAAATTATAACTGAGACAGGTTTTTAAGGATTTTTTGAATTATTATTATATTGTTCTGTAACTTACATTGAGCTCTCTTTGGATTAATGTCCTCCTTGGAATTATCCTTACCAATTACCAATTGGTATTTTATATATATATATATATATATATATATATATATTATTTGTATATATATATATATATATATATATATATATATATATATATATATATATATATATATATATTTATTTTGTATATATATATATATATATATATATATATATATATATATATATATATATATATATATATATATATTTATTTGTGTATATATATATATATATATATATATATATATATATATATATTTATTTGTGTATGTGTGTGTGTGTATTTATATATTATATATAAGATGAGAATGAATAGTGTATATACAATTCAACGTTCATAACATTTAAAAGAGGGCTCAATACAGATAGAGCAAAAAAAATATTTATTTAGATATTAAATATAAAAATATGTTAAAATTGTAATTGCAATTGTGTAGCAATTTTAACATATTTTGATTTAATAGAGCAAAAAATAGTTTATTTATATATATATATATATATATATGTATGTGTATATAACATATGTGTATATATGTGTGTGTGTGTATGTATATTTATGTGTGTGTGTGTGTATATGCATATATGCATATATATATATATATATATATATATATATATATATATATATATATATATGAGCAAGACTAGCACTTATAAAGTTGTACATCAATTTTATACAAGTAGTGGGGAAATTATGTCTGTCGAGAGTAAAAAGCCTATCTGCTTGGATTGTTTTGAATAATAGTGCAGGGTTAGATTCAACAGAACATCCTACCTGTGTTGTCCTTTAATTCACATTTGAAATATGTGTAAATTGAAGATCCTGAACCGGGTAAATTCTTTAGTCCCATAAATGTTCTGCTGTTACGGTTGTCATCTGGCCAAATGAAATCATGCAGCATAAAAATCAACACATATCTTTAAAAATAATTTAAGAAAAAAAAAGAAAAAAGAGAGAAGGTAACAGCCATTTATTGGAACAAATTTGAATTTAAAGGGAAATAACTTACCAATAATCTCCCACTATAAAAGTGTTTTACCAGCAAACAATTGGTGGCCACACATTTCAACATGAAAAAATATTATTTCTCAATTGAATTTTAATAAAATTACTGACACGTCGTAGAGATTCTCTTTCATTGGTTCATGAAACATGATTTTTAAATCTTAAATTTCAAGCTTGAAAACCAAAGTTATGCTGACATCAAAATCTTTCATTTGAATTATTAAATATTTCTGGATATTTTAATTACCAAAATTTTTGTTGTTTTTATTAAAGTTTAAAATAAAATATACACTAAATAGTTGTCTTATGTGAAAAAGTATATCCATTTAAATCCCAAAATATCCCACTACAAAAATCATATCACTAAAATTATATGAATTCGATATTACAGAATTTTTTTGCACTATTTAAATTTTTGAAAACTTTACTAAAAAAAAGTAAAATTTAAAAAACTAATTTAGTTGAACTTTTACAGTTAAAAAAAAAAAAAAAAAAAAGAAAAAAGAACAAAAAGTTTCATAATTCAGTTGTTTAGAATGGGATATATAAAATCAATCTCAAGACCTGTTTATTAAACTTCTTATGTTGCTTTTGTTGCAACCACAATGTTCCACCTGACCTATTTCGTAGAATTTTCCAGATGAACAAACCTTAAGGATGGCTGAGGGTAGGGGTTCTATTTTCTACAGAAATAAGTAGTAAACCAAAAAGAAACAATGTCTAATATCTCAAACTGACATGTCATTCCCAGAGATATGATCCATGCAGATTCATTTGTCATTATTAATGCTCTATCTCTTAATACTGAGCATTTACAAAATTACAAGACTGCTTAAAAGAATTATCTTCTAGAAATACCCTGGTTGACCATATTATTTTTTGGCTAATGTTTTTGTTATGTGTATGTAATAATAATAATAATAATAATAATAATAATAAATCTATATAAATAAATGCGAATGTCAGTGTATCATTGTGTCACACTTTTTCAACTTTACTCCGAGAAGCCGTAGCCCAACATATACCATTTTGGAATCTGGCCGACTTCATGAGCAAATTAAAAACATTCTGAGCCAGATCCGGACCCACAATCCTAAAATTTTGGATTTCCAACTTTTCATTACTGTGATTGTTTCCTGTGATTTTTTGTGACAAATTTTTTTGCATGATAACAATTTTTATAACTTTGGGAATAATTGAAATTGACTGAAATCCAGTAAAAGTCACTGATGAAATAAAAATATTTTTTGTATGGAAAGTAAGGGCTTATGTACATCAAATTTTCTTTAAATTAAGTGGTGGCAGAATAATTATTGTTAAACTTTTAAAAGGTAAGTTTAAATATTAATGCAATACTTAAATGCAACGATCAATTTTGAGTTCTTCTGCAGTTTATTGTTGCCTATCATGTCTACTCCTCCCTATGTATTGTGGTGATGGTCCATTTAAGAGTCCACCACAGGATCTAGCTTAAATACTGAGTGGCTTTTAAAGCTATTAATAAATATATTTTTTTTTTTTTTACTTATCTCTACACAGAGTTTTGCAGATTCTGAAATCCACTCATCAGGAGATAAAAGTATACACTTATCCCCTTTGAATTATCACATTGGGAATAATGAATAAAACTCCAGTGAGCTTAACTTTCATCATTTATCCTAAAATGCTGCCTTTTTACAGCAGCTGCCAAGCATTTACAGTTTCAGGAATTGGTGAAAATAATGTAGAGGAGAAAGTGGGTGAAGAACAATGAAAAAAAATTCTTCAAATAACTCTACAAATTTAAATAAGTTTATTATTAAGTATAAAAATAATCTTTGTTTACTTTTAAGTTGAAAGAAACAAGTTATAAAGTTCCTGGCAAACAAAGTTTGTGCAAAAAATATTTTTGTTTTTTTAAAACACAAATGTGTTAGTACAAGGTGAAAGGTATGCATTAATTCAACATGCAAAAATCTATGAATTACAGTATTTTATGCATGCGTATGATGTAATTTAGCTGTCAGCCAACATTACGGCTAAGTATAAGTATGACTACCACTTTTATAATCATGCTTTGTTTATATATCTTGTTTGTGTACTTTGCATTTATGAAAATATGTTAAAAAAAAAAAGAGAAATAATTTGCAAGAAATAACATAGTACTCAATAATTTAATTTAAATATGTGAAAATCTGAGAATTCAGTATTGTTGACAATCTGCCGGTCGAATTATACTGAAGAATATTAATTTATGTTATGCTATTTGTGAGAAAAAAAAGACAATCACAAGTTAGATTTACTAAACTCAGAGGTTTTATTAGTTAATAAATGTATTTCCCAAATTTTAATTTCAATTTTTAGAAGGGTAAAAAAATTGTTAATCATTTTCTGGATGTAAGCCTTCAATAAAATAAGAATGTTATAAGCTTTTTGAAAGCTTGAATAGTGTTTGATACAACATTACTGATTAGTTAATACTAATGTAGGAATTTTAAATTTATATGATCCTAGTTTTGCACAAAATTGAGATTTCAGTGACACTACTTAAATCTATTGAACTTTTTTCCTACAGTGTTTTGTATAGATTCTTATTAACATTTTACTAGTTGCCAATGATTCTTCTTATGAGGCATTAGACATTTATTTAAATAATATATATATTCCTTTGGATCTTGTCGGTATGGCAGACAGTGGGAGGACATGTGGTCTGAGCAGTGCATGGCCACTATATACTATATCATCACCCTGGCCTGTGTCCTGGAGAGCACCCAATTTGGGTCTGATGTTGCTGATCCATTTTCAATGCTGGGGTCATTTTTACTGAATAACCATTTTCTGCTTTTCTAAATTCAAAATGTATGCGTGTGCAATTTGTTTGGATAATATACTGAATATAGTTGTTCCTTAGTTTGATGCTATTTAAAGTATCATGCATATGACAATCATCAGGCATAAATTTATGTAGTATTGAATGGTAAGGAACAACTATATAATTCATTTTAATTTCTAGCTCTGTTATTTTACATTGAGCTGTTTAAATACTCCTATAACTCACTTTGCACTATTTTATATTCTCTCTCTCTCTCTATATATATATATATATATATATATATATATATATATATAGAGAGAGAGAGAGAGAGAGAGAGAGAGAGAGATATAAAAATATATATATGATATATATATATTATGTAGAAAATATATATTTTCTTAAATATTATATTTCTTTAGAGGTATATATATATATATATAGATACCTCTAAAGAAATATGACATCTAAGAAAATGAATTTTTAAAAATTAAAAATCTTTCTTGAAGTTTTTATTTTAGTTTCAATTTCAAGCTAATAGATTAAATTTAATATTTCCAATAATCAATATATTTTGCCATATTTCAAATTCAATTTTAATTAATTGGAGTAGTCTATTTTTTTTTTTTCAAATTGTTAAAAATTGCTGATTTATATATTTTCAGCCATCTGTCAACACAATGTAATTTTCTTTATTAAAAAATCTGTCACAAATAAAATATACTTTTCTGAAACTTTATTTGAGGAATATTAGGTGATTTAAAATTTAATTAATATAATTTGAAACAAATATTACTTTTAGTTTAAAACGCAGAAATGCATTTTTTAATATGGGGGTAAGTGTTTATTTAATGCATTGCTAGCTTTATTGACAGCCTGACAGATTTATTGACAATTGGGAATTTAACTAATTTTTTCTATGGGGTATATATCTGTAAAAAGTACTTGAGAAATATAACATGAGCACCTTTTTTATATAATTTTTAGCTACTCAGCAAGAAATTTAAATCATAAAAATTTAGGAAAATATTCTCCATAATCTAATGTTTATTGAATTTTAGGTACATTTACGATAGTCACCGCTCATATTTTCTGATAATGTCGTGTATGGACAATTGTGTTTACAAAAATCGGCATGTTTATACACACAAAAAAAATTCAAAATTCTTTTTAAAATACTATGGTTTACTGAATTGTAGTAAGCTTTTCTATTTATGATTAGTAAATACAATATTTACTTAATAATATCACTAAATGCATACAAATTAATACAGAATTTTAAAAGATTTAGAACTTTATAAATTATTCTAATTAAAATTAAAAAAAATGAAAACAATTCTTGTAAAAATTCATTATTAATAGAAAACAATTCCTTCTTAAGACAATAGTGTTCATAATATGTCTTATTCATAAAAGCAATTATGAAGCTTTTCTATTTAAATTCTTAGTCTTATTTTTATTGAATTTTTCATTTTACAATTCAGAGCTGATTTTTGGTAAATGACTGAGTCCAGATTTAAAAAAAAAAAAAAAAATTTGATGATTTAAATTCTCCAAAAACTAATATAAACATTAAATGGTACAAAAATTAATTTCTTGAAATTTCATAAAATTAGTTAAGTGGAGCATAACAGATTTAAAAAAAAAAAAAAGTTTTAAAGCCAGATTTTCTAAAAATAAACATTTCTAAAATAATTTAATTCATTTGTGAATAAATCCTAAAAGTTTAATTAAAATCTGACAATTCTTTGGAAGAATTTCCAAATCCATGTATCTTTCACCGCAAAAAGATGCTATAATTTCCTATACTAATTTAGTAAAGAAATGGATTTTTATTTATTAACCTGACAGATTTTTATTACTTAAACATTATTTTTAGTGGATACTTGCATTTGAGTAGACATTCTATTTATTAAACAATATATTTATTTATTTTCGTCTACTGGCCTGAATGATTGAAAATCTTATTAGAGTAAAACTTTATATGTGTATGTGTGCGTGTGTGTGTTGAGATTTTATTATGTAAATGAATGTTTCATATAATAAAATTGGTATTAGTCAGCCAATGTTGATGAAATAT